CCCCAAAACCCCAAAACCCCAAAACCCCAAAACCCCAAAACCCCAAAACCCCAAAACCCCTTAATAAGCTTCGAAAATTGGAGAATCTGAAATAAGATATTAAATGGAAGCTGAAGCGCCAAAGATGATTTATAGACCACTCGGAAACACAGGACTCAAAGTTTCTATCCTCTCCTTAGGAACTTGGATACTTTCTTATAATGAAGAATCAGAAGCTAACCTCATCGAGTGCATGAAGAAGGCTTGGGAACTAGGTGTCAATTCATTTGATACTGCTGTGTTTTATGGAGATGGTGCTGCAGAGAGAGTATTGGGAAGAGGCTTGAAAGCAATTGGGGCTGAAAGAGAAGACTTTGTCATCACCACCAAACTGTATCGCAGTGGAACAGGTATTAATGATTGCGCACTTAGTAGAAAACACTTGACAGAAGGGATGAAGAGTTCTTTGAAGAGACTTGACCTTGATTATGTTGATGTAGTCTATTGTCATAGGCCGGATACTCAGACTACTATTGATGAGACATGCAGAGCCTTAGATTGGATTATTGAAGAAGGATATGCCTTCTATTGGGCTACTTCTGAGTGGACTCCAGACCAGATTGCCAGAGCCATGGAGTTTTGTGAGAAAGAAGATCTTCACAAACCTATTGCTGATCAGTGTCACTATAATGCTCTCGTAAGAGAGAACTTTGAGAAAAATCTCAGACATGCTTATGAAAACTACAGATACGGAACCGCCGTCTGGTCTCCTCTTGCAATGGGACTTCTGACTAGTAAATATCACAAAGGTGAGTTCCCAGAAGGATCAAGATTTCATCCAGATACCAAAGACTTCGATTATGCCTACTTTTACTTCGATCATGATGGTGGCAAAAAAGAAGCTACACTTGAATCATGCAACAAGTTTGCAAAAATTGCTGAAGAATTTGGTTGCACACCAGCTCAACTTGCATTAGCTTGGACTCTTGTGAACAGAGATACAAGTACAGCCATCTTTGGAGCTGACAAGGTTAGCCAGGTTGAAGAAAACATGGTTGCTCTTGAGATAGCTTCAAAGTGGACTGAAGAGCTTGAAGACAAGATCGAAGAGGCTCTTGGCAACCAGCCAGACCCAGAGATGGACTACAACACCTGGGCTCCAAAGAGACCAAGAAGAAGAGTGGCAATTGACTATGACATGCCAAATCTTAATGAATAATTAATGATGACGTTACTCGAAACTTATGTTCAATTTAAAGTTTTATTCCAGGGGTTTTGGGGTTTTGGGGTTTTGGGGTTTTGGGG